GACATCTACCAGCCCCCCTTTTAGTCTACCAGCTCTTTTTAGTACACCCAACTAACCTGTGAACCACAGGGCTGGAGTTCTATTTTAAGGTATCACAATTGCCCAGGGTTCCTTACTGTCTCTCCTCCTTTGTCACTTGCTCTAAAACTGTAGGTAGCCATGAAGTCCTGAGCCAATCCTGACAAAGCAGCCTCTGTATGAATGTTGAAATCCCCCAAGATTAGCAGTCTGGGATATTATAGCACTATGCTAGAGACTGTGTCTGCCTGCTCAGACAGTGTATGCAATGGCAAACTAGGCGGGCAATAAACCAAAAATGCACACAGTCTATCCTAGCTGTCCAGCACAAGGAAGACATGATCAGTGCCCGCAATAGTCTGCCCTGGAAGTCTGTGGAAGGAGAAATACTCTTAGAGGATAACCGCCATCCTACCCCTTTGTTTAATGTTGTTGAAAGACAGCATACCCAGCTGGGACGAACTGATAAAGAATAATAATTACAAGTTGCATCATTTAATTATATTTTTATAGGGTTAGAAAGAAATTTCCCCTACCTCATGTTGGTTTCTAGCTTGTTGGGTTTCCCCTGTAGTATATGACCTGGCTCATTTCCTTAAACCTAGTGGATTCTTCAAATTATAACATGACTTGAACAGGAATCTGTGGTAGTGGACATCTTGTTCCTAACCCTTTTATTTTTATATGAATACACTGCAAATCACATATGATGTTCATGTGGTTTAATGTATGATGAACTTAAGGAAAACTGACTTAAAATAGGCATTTAGCACAGGTGTGTTAGAACTGATTAAAACAAATGGTTTGCTCCTAGTTAAATAAAGTATATAGAAGGTTAATAGCTTTCTGTTGCATGACTTATCATAGGTTATACCTTTAAAATATTTTACTTCTCGTTTCTTTATGTAATAAAGCCTCAGCAACCACACTTTCTGTAGTCTAGAAATCAGTATTTATAAAATTACATAATTGTCATGTTTCCTGTTTTGCAAAAAGCCCTGTCACATGTGTAAAACGTGGAGCTTTTCTTTAATAGTTTAACAGTTTGATAGTCTAATGTTTGTTTGTTTTTTACTTCATTTATATCATGTCTTTCTCACTGAAGTAGAGAAGCATGGAAGGGAGTAAATTAAACAAAAAATGAAACCCGTGCAAAAATAACAAAAACATTCAATAGAAAATATAATGATATGAACTTATATAAGTGGTGTAGTTTATCAAAACTATAATGCAGGGCTTTTTTGGTAGAAAAAGCCCAGCCGGAACTCATTAGCATAATAGGCCACACCCACCAGCAGAAACGCATTAGCAAATTAGGCCACACCCCTGACAGCACAGCTCATTAGCATATTAGGCCACACACCCCATGTTACCAGAAGTCTGGTCATCCAGCCACACCCACCTTTTGCTTCTTATTCTGTTTACCTTGTTTGTTATCAAAACCCTGGGCTCTTTTTGTAGCAGGAACTCCTTTGCATGTTAGGCCACACACCCCTAATGTAGCCAGTCCTAATGAATTTCTGCTGTTGGGTGTGGCCTGTTATGCTAATGAGTTCCTGCTGGGCGTGGCCAATTTGGGAGCCAGCCAGAACTCCGTTCCTGCGCGTTCCTGCCCAAAAGTAGCTTTGCTATAATGTATACTATGCAAATCAAAAATACAAATACAAATACATGATCCAAATACATAAATAACATTCAGAAATAGTCCAAGTCAAATTTCTCCAACAGTGAAAAGGCCAAACATCAGTATTTATAATTCCTCTTTGCAAAACTCATCTCACTGCCTGTATATCCACTTGACGGCCCTGCCAGCTTCCAGTTGCTGTATCGCATTGCTTCCTCAAAAGTGGAACACCAAAACCGCCCAATTACAATATTGTAGAATCATACAAAGCATCTTTTACATTCTTAATGTTCAGCAGACCAACTCCTACACCACTTATATAAGTTCATATCATTATATTGTCTGTTGAATGTTTTTCGTTATTTTTGCACAGGTTTCATTTTTTGTTTAATTTTCTCACCAAAGTGTCTCACTTTATTCTCCCTTCCTCCATTTTATCTTCACACAACCCCATGAAATAGCTTAGTATGTGTGACTGGCACAAGGTCACCGAGTAAGCTTCCACAGCAAAGAGAAGATTTGACCCTGGATCTCCTAGATCCTAGTCCAACCCTAACCACTACCTCATGCTACACCATCCTAATACCCTGCCAAATCTATCTTCTGCCCCAAATTCTCTATGGAAAATTCCAAAATATATGCCGTTTGTACGATCACTAGCTTTCATTTATTTATTTACGGTACTCATATTCCCTTTCTGCATCTAATTGTTTTAACACCAGGCGCTGTTGTAATAGTTTTGATGTGGTTTGATTGACATCATTGTAAGAGTTAAGTTTATAGTTTTAGTCTTTGATTGTCTTATTTTAATGTTTGTAACCCACCCTGAGCCTGTTCATGGGAAGGGTGGGATAGAAATTGAACCAACTAAATAAATGAATGAATTAGGATGATTACAACAATAAATACAATACAAAAATATCCATCTATTAAAATCATGAAAACATGTCATGAAAACACATTAAGGATATAGAGCCTGCATCCATAACCCTCAAGCTGCCCCATAAGCTTCCAAAGCTGTTTTGGGGGTGTTTACTGGGGGAATGAATCAATTTTAATTTCCAGGATTTGCAGGGGGGGGGGGTTGTTTGCTATTTGTTTGGTTATCCAAGATTTTTTTTTAAGCTAACGACACCACATTTGCACAGATGATAGTCATCCCTCTAAACTAAAGGCTGTCATGACTGGAAGATGTAAGATGCTTTGAAGTATATTCTGGGGTTCCCTAAAGCTCTGGGAACAAAGCTCTTTTCCAGGGAGGAGAATAATAAAATGCTCAAGTTGTCAGCAGAGCAGACATGACTTTCCTGCAGGAAGATAACCATTGCCCAGCTGCCAGGAAAGGGCAAGATGGATGGCTATTGCAAAACATGATGTGGGCAATAAAACCTGTGAGAAGTGCACTCTGCCTTAATTGAGGAAAGGAATGCCAGGGCTCCATGAGGGCATCACTTCACAAACTCTGGATTGGGTAAGGGACCACCCCGACTGGGGCAAGAAGGGTTAAAACAGGGGTGTCGAACTCATTTGTTATGAGGGCCGGATCTGACAAAAATGAGACCTTGTTGGGCGGGGCCACGTGTGTCATAAAATATAAACTTTATAAAGTTTATAAGATATAAACTTTATAAAGGACACAAACACAAAGGGTTTTTTTTACTTAAAATAAAAACATGCTTTAAACATTAGCACTCTTTCAATATTTTGTTTATTTAACAGTGTCTAATAACTGACACCTCTTGCTCTGAATTATTGCATCAAAATGCCTGTGCTGCTGCAATCTTGAGTGTGCTGTTCAGGTGTGTATCTGCAAACCTATGATGCCGCAGCAGCAGCAAAACTGGAAGAAGAAGCAGAAGACAGCCAGTTCCACTGCGGGCCTGATAGAAGCCCTCCAGGGGCCTGATCTGGCCCCTGGGCCACATGTTTGACACCCCTGGGTTAAAAGATCTGAACCCTGTTAACAGTGTTCAAACTGGACAGGAGATGAGGGAAGGAATAGAGGGGCGCTGAGTGAACTCTACTTCCTAAATTCTGGAGACTTGTGCCCATCCCCACTGAAAGGATGGTGAGATAACATCTGTGACTCTAAAGTTAGGAAAGGCCCACTCTCAAAAGATTTTTTAAAATTGATTTTCAGTTCAGGGATTTCTGGCCTATACTTTGTTTTATAGCCTCACCAGAAGGCTCCAACACTAGGTGCCTGCTTCACCCCTTCTGGAAGGCTGTTCCATAGCAGTGGGGCAACAACAGAAAAGGCCCTGTCTAAGCTCTAAAATATTGTATTCTCAAGAGTGAGTGGACTACCAGGAGGCCCTGGTGTACGGAGGACAATTTGAGAAATGCAACCTCATGTTGTTTTTCACATGCAAGTTAGATGTGAAAAAGTATGCTTTGCAGTTATGATTTAGGCTGGCGATACTGCATATTGTGGACAGATGTTCTACAAATATGGCCAAAATTGTTCCATAGAATGCCAAATTATACTTTTATTATGAAAAACATAGCTGGAAAACAACCGCAACCCTAGGTCTAATAACATGTTTCTACAAATGATACTGTGTGAACAGGGTTTTTTGTATAAAATTAGGGTGTGTAGTTAACCACAATAAAGAGATTCACTTGGGCACATTGGCAATAAAGTGTGCCATGTGATCCCATGTACTTCCTTAATCATATACTGTACACCTACATGATATTTTTTCTATTTTTGTAGTGATATAGAAGAGACAAAATACCACAAAGCAAGTTATAGATGAGCAACTAGTCCTTAATCTGTTCAGTGATAACTGTGTATTATCATTAATCCTTAGAAACCAGATATTCTAAATAAGAATTGTGATAAGCAGTATATCTGACAGACCCTTACCATCTTGAGATTTTTTTGGATAGCCAGTCCTTATAGATATATCTCCCTTCTCATCTTCCTTATCAATGTGTAACCATTTACCAATCCAAGTGAGCACAAAATGTTAAATTCTAATGTATGGAAATATGCTGAGCTTCATTTTGCACAATGCAATCCAACCATAGGAATTGGTTATTATGGTGGAAAATTTGGAGAGTGTGGTGCAGAATTTCAGTGACCCTTGTTTATGTGCAAGCAATGTCAGTTTGTGCCAGAGTCTGCACAAGTAGAAATCCATTCTCACAGGAAAAGAATGAACATTTTTGAAAACCCAGTTTTGATATTTATTTAAACTTCTTTTTACAAGCACTGAAAAGGAGATGTCATAGCTATGAGTGTCTCAAAGGTATGTCATATGCACAACCATTTGCATTGCTCCCTTCCTGCATGTCTGTTTATCTCATTCATGTCATTCAAAAAGACCGCTAAACTTTTCCCCCTTCTCTTTAGGTCCCAAAGCAGTGGAAGCACACAGCCAAAAATTTGAAGTGCGAACCACCAAGGGGATACTGTTGTTTTCTGCAGATGACAACGAAGTGGTGGTTGGAGCAGAGAGGCTAAGAGTTATAGGTAAACAATATTTGACAATATTTGTTTCTCTCAATATATACATATTTATTCCTTTGGAAGTGTTCTGGGTGTTTGATCTCCTTCATGGTTCTTGTGGAAAATCTCCCTGATGGTTTCAGGAACAGTTGGTCAGATGGGTTTTTTTTAATTATTCATGGGTTTTGAAACTTCATTTGCTCATGACCTTCAGAACTGGCTTGAATTCCTAGAGGAGAAAAGAGACACACCATAAATCAGCATCATAATGCATTGCATTATTTGAAATATTGGCAGAGAAATGTGAAAGAGACTGACCTAAAAGAAAAAAAAGTCTTCTGCGCATCCTTATTGGGGTAAGGGATGAGCAGGAGCACAGTTTAAATCTACGTTTGTAAGGACTGAAATGAGGACACCGCCATCCCAATTTGCAACACTTTTCTATGAGCCCTGTTCCAAAACTGCCATAACTAGGTCACTCTCCAGACACTGCTTTTAGCCATGTGGGATCTGCTGCAGTGTGGCTGCACGACTGGCAAATCCAAGGTCACAGGAGAATAACTGATACAGTGGCTCCTTCCCACATCAGTGTTGCCTCAGCTCTCAGAAAGGTAGTGCTGCCATGGGCGTTTCCCCTGTGAACTTCAGCTCAAGATTTTACTGAGCAGTCATTTTGCAGTTCCCATGTTGCCCACTAAAAGCGTCTAAGTAAGAGACAATTTCTATATGCACATTTTATTTCTTCGTGGGCAGTTATCTGTGCCAAAAATACCAGAACCTGAAGGAAGAACTCTGATTGGAGGTGAAGAAATATGCTCTGTGTAATCCAAAGTTGTAGCTAGGAACAAAGTGTGAACTTGCCCCACCTCTCATATATCAAATTCAGTCAATGAGATCTCGACATACTATCAAACATGAGAAGAAAGGAGATAAATGCTTGCCTTGTAGACAGTTCCATTCAAAAGCATAACCTTTGTTCAAAAGTAAACTCTTATGATCTGTAGAAAAGCCACTGCTTTTAGACCAGTGCCCTTTGGATTCTAAGCGGTTTGCTGCCTTTAAAGTTTAAAGATATAAATGATGTTTTCTTCATCTCACAGTGCAAACCAGGCGCCTATGTATTCAGTGGTTAACTTTCCTACACAGAGGCCTTTTGCCAATGTTATTTGTTGCCATTTGTGTTATGAGTATCATTTAAACCTATGTAAAAGACACAGCCAAGGTTATTTTTCCCAGGCAGCATTCACACGTGCGAGATAATGCGGGGGGGGGGGGGGGGGGGGTGCCGTTGCTGAAGCTAAGCCGCCCCTCCCTTCTTCTCGCCTCTTGAGCTGCGCTGACGCCGGTGCCATGGGGGGGGGTTGTCCGCATATTTCCGGTGCACTTCAGCAAGGGATCGATGATTTGCATCTCTGTACGAGTGCTCCCTATGCAGTGTGCAATGATGTGCATACCGAAACGGGGGGGGGGGGAATAACACCATGGAGTCAGGATAGCGCGATCAGACCATCTCGATGCCATGGAAGCATGCTGGCACAATCACACTGGGGAAAATCCGTTCCTGGCCCATAGCAAACCCATTTGCTACTGGGGTTTCCCCGGTGGCTATTTACTTCGCTTCTGCAGTGAAGCAAAATGGGTTGCCGATGGGATCAGGATGCTCGGCAGATGTTGGTGTCTGATCGTGCCCTTCAAATCCGCTCGGCATGCGCAGCTAATTCTGCGTGTGATCGCACCCCCAGTCACATATCTTACAGTACTTTATATGTCTGAAGCTACGATTTGTCACTTGCTTTTAAAGTGAGGGTATGTTGAATGTTAAAAGTCATGTCTGTTGAGTGTTTTTAGTATTTTTTTTTAAAAGAATGCAAATAACTTTAAGAAAAGTGATCTATGTAATTCGATTGTTCTAACAGATAGCTGTCCAATAATATAACTTTTCATAAACTGTGATTGGAACTCCTGATATGTTAGTTGGTTATGAGATCATCATATGGATCAGGACCTCACTATGGGGGAAGAGGAAAGAGTTAAGCTTCCAGAATCTCTTCTGGGATAGTGAAGATCTACAGTGTATTGGAACAAGAAGACACAGTAACATTTCCTTCAGTGTTAGTTGGGTTTAGCAACAAGGCACAAAATTAGTTTGTAAAGGAATGGGTGGTTATTTATTTCCACTCCTGGCAGTTTAGTGAACTTGCATATTAAATTTATTCTCGTACAACAATAGCATTACATTTTTGCATCTTAAAAGGAACAATAGTCCAAATGTTGAGACAGTAGTACAGATGTTGCAGATGCCTCACTTTCAGTGTATGCTGGTGACATATATTTGTTGCTTATTTAAATTGCTTTGTTGAGGACCACAGGTTTTGAAGCCATATTACTTTTATTTTATGTCTCCTTTTGGTATCTGAAACATAAAAACAAAGGAGTATTTCCACAGTTCCTGTTCCATATTTATTTATGTTTGGAGCAGACGGTGTCTCAAGGTTTTATCTATCTTAAGCAAGGGACATCAAAGGAGAACAGAGACAATGACATCAAAACATTGTATTTTATAGAGAGTTTTCAGTAGTCCTGAGAAGTCTGTTTCAAACTGTGCTCCCCACTCCCACCCCCAACAGTTCCTTTCTGCAGCATCACCATGTCTCTTACCATATGTAAAGAAGCTGCTATGCCATATTTCTTTGCTGTTGTCTCAGTATGAGGGCATAGTCAAACCAGGCCAGAAAGAAATTTCAATTAATCATCGTATTCATCATTGGCAATGTCCAGGTATCATTGTTGTGTCTTCTGACACTTCAATTTGCTACATAAATAATCTTGACTTGTTATTGTCTTGCATGTCTTCATTACAACCAGCAAAATAAAGACTGCACCGCATGAGAAGTCTTCTTAGAGAGGTTAAAGCAGCAGTTATTGGGCATGTGGTCTGCTTTTAATCTTGTTAATGATAATTGCATTCTACTGTTTGTACTCTTTTGAAAGCTGGATCAGAAAGTTTGTTCCCTGTAGCAGCTCTGGAGCCTTAAAGTGACAAAAGCAACAGAGCTGACTGTTTTTCTACTTGAATTTTTAAAGACTTTTGTAGTACTAGCAGCAAGGGCTTTGAAAGAAGGAAAAGGGCATGATTAAATAATCTGGACTTTAGAACATCATAAAGTGGAGGCTGTAGACATGTTTTGCTTTTCAACCTAACCATCTGTGTTGAGCATAAAACAAATTATGTATGTTCTCAGAGAGAGGAGATAAATTAAACATCTTACTGAGGTTCATGGGAAGATCCCTATTCATGTTTATGATGCTTTGAATATCACTGGTTTCAAAAAGATTTGTGCATGTGTAAGATTATTGGGAGTCTGAAGATGTACAGTCTTGTCATTTTTCCCCTAAGTAGCAAATGCTTCTTGAATTGGTGTGTTTACATAATTTTGTAAAAAGTACATTAACATCTCTTTCTAGGGGAAACAAATCTAGGTTTGATGAGAATATTAGGACACAGCTCTGTTCTGCATCAAACTGCACTGGTGCTAGGGTTGCCAGCCCTAGGTTGGGAAATACGTGGAGATTTTGGGGGTGGAGTCTGAGGGTGGGTTTGGGGGGGAGAGGGACTTCGGTGGGGTATAATGTCATAGAGTCCACCTTCCAAAGCAGCTGTTTTCCCCAGGTGAAGTGATGTCGGTCGCCTGGAGATTAGTTGGATTCCCAGAAGATCTCCAGCCACCACCTGGAGGTTGGCAACCCTAGCTGGTGCACTGTTACGTTCTTTTTTTTTTTCTCTAGGCAAGTATCCAGTAGCTGGAGTATCAGATTTTATATTATTTAGTGGGTGCCAAGCTCCGCAAGCCAGGGAAGACACCCCACTTGTCTTTACACTTTGTGGAAACCCTTAGCATTATTGAAAACTAATTAAATTTGCTAGTATGTTGAATTTTTTTAAAAAAGTCTAAACCTACCCATCCCCCTTCTCATCAACCTAGTCTTCCTGACAGCGGGAAGTGAACACGACTAAACCTCTATTTATGTGAAATCACACTGGCACTGAATCTGCTCTTTTTGAAATGAAACTTAAAGCTGAAGCTTTTAGGATTACAAGGATTAATTCAGTCAACACCTTTGAAGTTGCCATCTGTTGAGGCCAACATATCTAAAGGGATCTACAGTTTGTGAGGGTTCTTTTCAGCATGCAGGCTTTGGTAATATGTTGATAGTTAGGTAGGACTGCAATACATCACGCTTTTTATAAGGTTCCATTCCAGTTATATATTATTCTCTTCTTAATAGTGGCTTCTGAATCTATCAGCACATTTTGGATGAAACATCATGTTATGTGTGTTGTAAAATAGTAAAAAGTATTTAAAATACTCAGAGTATCAATGGATCTTGCTCTATTGGAAAGAAGAGATTTCTTTGCATTTAAAAACCTTTATTTCTAAGGGTAAAAAGTATACAGGAAACCTACAAAATAACAAACTCCTAAGAGCTACATTTTCTAAGCTGCTTACAGTTCAAATCATGGTTACACACTACACACAGAAAATGGAGAATCTGTCCTTCTTCTCAACCCCTAGAAAGGAAGTCACCTGAAACAAACAACCAATCTGTTACTTTTCCTGGGCTAATTCCCCATTGGCTCTGTGCCAGGTTTCTCTTCCAGGTCAGTCTAAACAATAGCAATACTAGGTAAACAAGTTAACCCTATAATGACTGGATTGTCAGACCTTGTAAACACATGCATTTCCAACAATATGCAGATCCATATTTCTTCCTCTTTTACTTGTGTCAGTTAAACTGCTGTTAACCTGCAATCTCTATAGTTGTATTCTGTTCAAAAAGTTGTCATTTAACAAAAACAGTTTTGCATTTCTGCCCTCTGATTGTTCAGACATGATACCAAGAATACAGCACAGTATGAACTAGCAACATGAATGCTCACATGCTCCTTCCTCCCCTTCCCTGTCTGAGACCTTTTCATACCTTTCTTCCCCAGTAAGGTTCTGCCTGTCACAAAGCTGCCTTGG